TTTTTCTTTTGGATTAATATTTATTTAATTTGTGAAGCTGAATAGAATCAAAAATAAATATATATTTTTTGAAGAAATATCATGTATTTGATTTTTATTAGTATTGTATCAATAAAAAGAAATATTTTTTTTTTCATTGAGTTTTTATTATTTTTTTGAAGAAAGTCAATAAAAATCGTACAATCAATCGCTTTATTGTTTTCCGAAAGTTCCAAAAGATTGTTTCAATATTTTGTTGTTTCTAGAAACTTAACAAGATGACACAGATTCGTGATGTGACTTTTTTTAAAGGATAAAAATCAATTTTGAAAAAAATGATAATAAAACTTTGATTTCCGAAAAATTTTATAATATATTATAAATATACCCCACAACTTATAGATTATTGTACTATTTATTTTATAAATAATGATATAACGAAAACAAAATTCTTTATCGAAAATCTTTTGGGAAATATGAAGCATGTTTGCGTCATACTTCTAAAGTAAGCATAAGAATATTATGCTACTAGGACATTTTTTATTCACTTAAAACAAAATATTTATAAAACGAAAGGTAATATCTACCGTCAAAATAAACGCCATCTTTATATCGTCTCTGCAAATATAGCAGACTAGAGTCGATGACAAAGCCACAACACCAGCTTTGGCAAATTCAAAACGCCAACCTAGAGACGATAGTTTCGAGATTATGACCCTTGTCAGTCCAGAGTGGGTTTTGATTTCGTGAGATCCACAAGGGATAGAATGGAATCTTTCCAATCCTTCAAAGAGAGGTTTAGCTGGTAAATTGGCGCTGCGTGGTATATCAAAATATTAAAAGTTAAAATTATGAGGGCTCGAAGTGTGGACTCGTTTGAAAATAGAAAAATATGCATTTACAGGTGAGAATCATAAATTAATGGAAGAATAGTAAAGTTGCATCTACAGGCTAGAAGAATGGACTCATGGAAGAAAAGCAAAAGTTGCATCTACAGCTAGAAGAATGGACTCGTGGAAGAAAAGCAAAAGTTGCATCAATGGGCTAGAAGAATGAACTCGTGGAATAAAATCAAAAGTTGCACCTATGGGCTAGAAAAATGGACTCGTGGAAGAAAATCAAAAGTTGCATCAAAGGTCTATAATGATTGACTCGTGGAAGAAAATCAAAAGTTGCATCTACGGGCTAGAAGAATGGACTCGTAGAAGAAAAGCAAAAGTTGCACCTATGGACTAGAAGAATGGACTCTTGGAAGAAAAGCAAAAGTTGCACCTATGGACTAAAAGAATGGACTCTTAGAAGAAAAGCAAAAGTTGCATCTATGGGTTAGAAGAATGGACTCGTAGAAGAAAAGCAAAAGTTGCATCTATGGGCTAGAAGAATGGACTCGTGGAAGAAAAGCAAAAGTTGCATCTACGGGCTAGAAGAATGGACTCGTAGAATAAAATCAAAAGTTGCATCTACGGGCTAGAAGAATGGACTCGTGGAAGATAATCAAAAGTTGCATCTACGGGCTAGAAGAATGGACTCGTGGAAGATAATCAAAAGTTGCATCTACGGGCTAGAAGAATGGACTCGTGGAAGATAATCAAAAGTTGCATCTACGGGCTAGAAGAATGGACTCGTGGAAGATAATCAAAAGTTGCATCTACGGGCTAGAAGAATGGACTCGTGGAAGAAAAGCAAAAGTTGCATCTACGGGCTAGAAAAATGGACTCGTGGAAGATAATCAAAAGTTGCATCTATGGGCTAGAAGAATGGACTCGTGGAAGATAATCAAAAGTTGCATCTACGGGCTAGAAGAATGGACTCGTGGAAGAAAAGCAAAAGTTGCATCTACGGGCTAGAAAAATGGACTCGTGGAAGATAATCAAAAGTTGCATCTATGGGCTAGAAGAATGGACTCGTAGAAGATAATCAAAAGTTGCATCTACGGGCTAGAAGAATGGACTCTTAGAAGAAAAGCAAAAGTTGCATCTATGGGTTAGAAGAATGGAGTCGTAGAAGTAAAGCAAAAGTTGCATCTACGGGCTAGAAGAATGGGCTCGTGGAAGAAAAGCAAAAGTTGCATCTACGGGCTAGAAGAAAGGACACGTAGAAGAAAAGCAAAAGTTGCATCTACGGGCTAGAAGAATGGATTCGTAGAAGTAAAGCAAAAGTTGCATCTACAGGCTAGAAGAATGGACTCGTGGAAGAAAAGAAAAAGTTGCATCTACGGGCTAGAAGAATGGAATCGTAGAAGAAAAGCAAAAGTTGCATCTACGGGCTAGAAGAATGGATTCGTAGAAGAAAAGCAAAAGTTGCATCTACGGGCTAGAAGAATGGGCTCGTGGAAGAATATAAAAAGTTGCATCCACGGGCTAGAAGAATGGACTCGTGGAAGAAAAGCAAAAGTTGCATCTAATGGCTAAACGAACGGACTCGTGGAAAAATATCAAGAGTTGCATCAAAGGTCTATAATGATCGACTCGTGGAAGAAAATCAAAAGTTGCATCTAAGGTCTATAATGATGGACTCGTGGAAGAATAAAAAAAGTTGCATATATATAGAATAAAAAAGTGTATTCGTAAAAAAAAAAGAGTAAAAGTTGAGTTTACGAACTCGAAAAGTAACTCATGAAAAATACAAAAAGTCGAATGTACAAGCGTTAGGTCATCAAAGTTGGATATATGTATGAGCCAGAAGAATATATATATGAAATAAGATCAATATTTGCATTAATTTTCTAGAAGTGTAGACTCACCAAAAAAAGACCAAAATTTGAGAGTTATGTGCACACAAAGTAGACTCGTGAAAACTAGCGCAAGCCGACAGGAATAGGTCGACCCAAGAGGCAATAAAATTTCGATGGATGTACGAGCCAGAAGAATATATTCATGAAATAAGACCAATAATTGCATTAATGTGCTAGAAGTGTAGACTCGTCAAAAAAGAGCAAAAGGTTGAGAGTTGTATGCATAAAAAAGTAGATTCGTGAAAAGTAGCGCAAGCCGACAGGAATAGGTCGGCCAAGAGGTAATAAAAGATCAGCCAGGGGGGTAGATAGAGAAGAAGGAAGGAACCTACCCTGAAGGGCGAACCGACGAAGGACGTGACCCTCATGGCCAACCACCACGCGGCCAATGTGACCAGGAAACAACTGGCAACACGGGTAAACAGTGCTACGTCACAGCTGACTCTGCAGGAATGTTCGAATTTGCGCGGGCGTGTGACCCTCATCGCAATCCATTACTCATTCTTTTCTTATTAATAACAAGATAATAGGAAGAACCTCTTATGTCATTTGCATTCTTAAAACTTGTTACTAACTAGTTTATACATAAAAGATAAATCCTAGGGTGTCGGTGGAAGGATGGTATAAACCGTTGATTTTCTTAGCGTTCGATTCCCGCATTAGGCACTTTTTTTCTGATAAAAAAAATGCTCCAATCACCCACCGATTCTTTCAAAAGTCCAACCACACCAGCGAGGGCAAGTAACCAAACGGGGCATTGGCATATTTGTAAGTGCAAAGTCGAACTGTTTTTACCATGTGTAGACATGTGGTGCACTTACAGTAAAAGCAGCCGCCTACTTCTACCCATCATTATTATCATGGCCTGTACCACGTGTAATAGGGATAAGCAAAAAAAAAATCCTCACGTAATAAGATTCTTTAAAGAAGAGACCAAAGATAAGAGCTATACGGAATTCCTACACAGTTCCATCCAAATTTTATAGTCATTCAATTAGTCACATCACACAGAAAATTCCAGAAATACTTACATAAAAGAGGTCTATCAGAAACACCAAATTGTTCCTGCGGAGAAACTGAACAAACTGCTCTTCACCTTATCTATAACTGTCCGAACTTTACAGAAGTGAGACATCGTTTGTTCCCTGATCTAAATCATTTAATTATCTTACATAAGTCACTTTGTCTATATAAATTTTATGAACTCTGTCGATTAATACATGTAAGTTTGTAAAACGACATTTGAAATACTATCCCGCATTTGTTTCTTTTCAACGAAAATTCAAAATTTATTTCAAAGAGAAATAACGATTATTTCTAACCTTTTGGATGAGGTATGAAAGGATGCATTATGAAGAGTAATGATAAACGGAAAAATAAAAGTGTCCAGGGATGGGAATCCCATCCAACAATCGTTATTTCTCCTTGAAATAAATTTTGAATTTTCGTTGAAAAGAAACAAAAGCGGGATAGTATTTCAAGTGTCGTTTTACAATTACAAGCCGCATTATATTATATTGTATTATAAAACATGTAAATTTGTAAATATTTAATTCTAAGTTATGATTTGTTTTTTGTTTTGTTTGTTTCTTATGTAATTCATCTGGGCTCGAAAATCATACACTTTGATTAGTGTATCATAGAACCATATGCTTTCTTCTTTGTAATAGGCGCAAATATTTCAATATCGCGCCTGGTTGATTGATAGAAAAATGAAAAAAATCAAGGTAAAAGCGACAAGTTTTACCATTGATCTCTTTCTAGCAATGATATCCGGCATTTTTCTCATTGTAATTAAGATTCTCTTATTAAAAAAAAAAAAGACTTCAATCCCGCGAGCTTTCGAACTCTTGATCTTCAACAGTCAAAAGGTGATAAGAACGAACGTTGAAGGGAAGAATTCATTCTATTATATGTTCGCTATTATCATCTTTTACTTGTTGAAGAGGGAGACTTCGAAAGTTCGCGGTCAAAGTTAATAAAAGAAACTTTTTGTGATAGAGGAATTATATTTTATATATATAATATGTATTATAATTATAATTACAATTATTTTATTTAAAATACAATAAACGCGGCTGATGATTGTAAAACGAAAATTGCAATTATACCGCGAATGTTTCTTTTAAACAAAAATCGAAATTTATTTTAAAGAGAAATAACGACTATTTCTAACTTTAAGGATGAAGTATGAAAGGGTGAAAATATGAAGAGTAATGGCGAACGGAAAAATAAAAGTGTCCAGGGGCGGGAATCGAACCCACGACCTTCCGCTTACCGGGCAGATGTACCGGGTAGCCTAGTGGACATGGCATCTGCCCGGTAAGCGGAAGGTCGTGGGTTCGATTCCCGCCCCTGGACACTTTTATTTTTCCGTTCGCCATTACTCTTCATATTTTCACCCTTTTATACTTCATCCTTAAAGTTAGAAATAGTCGTTATTTCTCTTTAAAATAAATTTCGATTTTTGTTTAAAAGAAACATTCGCGGTATAATTGCAATTTTCGTTTTACAATTATTTTATTTCCAAAGCGCTATATCCCGCAAGGGATACTTGCGCCAAACAAGGAGAAAAGTTCATTTACATAAGTTATTTACATTATTCAACGCATAAAAACATTAGAGATCCAGATTTTGTAGAAAGTTTAGAATGTATTTATAAAATGAATTGAACTTTAAAGATGATTTTTTATCGGAATTTTCACTATCTTGGGTGTGTAAAGCTGCTGCTCTGGGTCTATGTCAATTTTCCGCAAGACTACAGCCATTGCTGGACATGAGAATATGTAGGTAGGTGTTAGTTCCATATCAGGACAGTTGTCGCATGTCCTATAGGTTCTTGTGACATCTGGCATATATTCGCTAAAACACTTATATAAACGCCCCAATTCAATTATCCCTCAAATATTCCATTTATTTTTCAGAAGCCAATTGAATTAATTCTATATTCTAATGTAAAACATTACAATAATGGATTTTTCAACCAGTACATATTCGCTTGTGCTTAATCATTTTAATTTTACCATTATCAAATAAAAGGGAAAAAAGCGCAATCTCTAAATTAATTCCATACATAAAATATCTTTCAATAATGTATTTCAATCAGTACATAGTGTTTTGCTTTAGCTTTACAATTCTAATGTTAACATTATCAAATAAAAGATAGAACAGTAAAATATGAATTAATTCAATTTTATAATGGGAATATTACAATCTATACTCAAATATGAATCTTACAAAAATGTATTTCCAACAGCATATAGTTGTTTTCTTGTTAATTCTAATTTATCGAATAAAAAAGGCAGACAAAATCTAAAATACAATTTTTTCACCAAATGTGATTGGCACAAATTAATCAAAACCAGTATAAAAATAAAATGCCATGTATCTGTTTCAAATTACGTCCCAAGAAGTTTGTCAACAAAGCCATTAGAACATTTATTTTTTAGAAAGTTGCTATTTAAAATATGTACACTCATGATCAAAATCTAAGGAAGTATAAAGTCTTTGATATCGCCAGTCGTTTATTTATTCTTTTTTTTTTTCGAAGCAGACAGAGATAATTTGGTTCACACTCTGTTATTAGAGTGTTCAATAAATGTCACTGTATATCAAATATCTTTTAAAGTTATAGTCTGAATCTCGATATACTGGCTAAAAAGTATTACTTCCTTTTGTCCATGAGTGTATATAAGCTTCAAGGTAGAATCGTTTTTATACAGGTTTAAATTAAGAAACAACGGTTATTGCCTAACTAGTACCGTATAAATGTAAACGATCCTATTCAGGAATAAATAACTTACTTGATTTGTACTTATAAAGAATGATTTCCACTTTTGAAATCTTACATTTCAAATAATAAAAAAAGACGTTTCTCTCTCTCTTATAAGAGGTAAAAATATCAGGTTTCAAGGGAAAAGTTTCCTTTCAAAAT